ATCACAACCTGTTCCTGCCAGGTGTCTGTTCATAGACAGAGTCAGTGAAACACTGAAACGAGTTAGTTTTTCTCTCCCTGACCTGTAGATTCAGTTATTGAAATGTGCTACGTATTACATATGAGGCTTTCTCATGGGATGTGTTTATATTTTTTAGTACAATTATTGTAAAAGTACAATTTCTCATAGTAAAACACAAAACATTTTTGATTTAATAATTTTGTTTATGATGACGGACAATTAATTGTGTTCCCTGTGTGACTAGAGGGTTGGAAGTTTATCCATTAAAAGTATAACTTTATTTACATAAAATAGCATCTGTATTCTTCTAGATTAAATGATATTTGTTGTGGAAAATTCTTCATCAGAGGAGCAGGACACAGTCTTGTGCAGATTCAGTTTTATTGAGCTCAATAAGTACAGCAACATGCCCTGGGTCTGCCCCACAGAACAGACAAACTGCAAGGGTTTCCCAGCTATTATATACAGTCAGAAAGAAGTTTATTTCACAATCTGAGTGCTTGTGCTGTTCTTTGATATGTACTTACTTCTTGTCCTGCTCTGTCTTGCTCTAGGTTCTGTCCTTTGATATGCAGCAGACATTGCTCTGCTTTACAACAAAACGCTAAGTCACCATCAATTTGTGCTTGTAATGTAACCATTTGTCGTTCTACTTTTGCTAAAGCTAATTAAAAGTGCTACTTTGGATAAGGTAGATCTCACCGGGCAAAATAGCTGAGAATCATTAAGACCTGTCTGCAATTAACCTCAGATTGCTTAGTCCTCCTTTTTATGATTGTTGTCTTCAAACATGAAAATTATTTGCCTATGTCCACACTTTGAAAGATGTTAAGAGGTGCCAAAAAATCTGAATATGTATTGGAAATGTATGGTCATGTGATCTAGAACACTGACAGTGACTCATTTTGAGTGCATGGATCCAATTATCTTAATGCTCTTTTTTCAATCCCATCCTCAGTTTACAGTCACGACTGGACAAAGATTATTTAGTGACTCAGCAGCTGCTTTGAGCAGAGAAAATCCTATTTAAACAATTTTCAATACCAGTTATTCCATCCTACCAGTGAGACCAATATGGATGGGGGTGTATTTTTGTATACTTTTCCTCTGGAGGTTTTCAGTGATTGCGAGTCTTAAAACTCTGTGTGTAGGCATCTGGAAAGACACACTTCTCCCTGGTGGCAAAGCCAACTGCCCAAGATCCCTCAGCATGTTAATGTTTTTGGAAAAATAAGTTACTGACTCTTGTCAAGAGTTTTAATTTTATTTCCACAAATACAGTAAAGCTTATATGTGTTTAAACAAATACTGAATTTTCATTTACATTAAACAGCTCTAATAGTTCTTGTTTAGTCAGAGTACTGAATCTTCCGCTTTAAAATTTGGGATAGCTGTATATTTATACCCTGTTCCCTATGAATTTTGAACTAAATGAAGAAACAGAAACAGAGCGTTGAAGATTTGTGCAGTTCCTGTGAAAACAAAATTACCCTGAGTTTTCTCTTCCTGTGGGATCTGTGTGCAGTTAAATCTGGGATGAACCTGTTGTGGTAACATTTTCTAAAGCTACTGATCTAGCAATTAGTTGCATTTCTTTCCACCTTATTGTCGATTGGTTCCATTATATTGCTTATACTGAATGTGTTTAGATGTATTTCAGAAAACCAGTTTTGTTTACCTTTCATAAGTCTCAAATGTGACAAGTTTGAGTTGTCACAAAGAAGCACATTATTTGCTCTTTTTAATCTTTTTTATGTTTTAAAGTTTGGTTTGTACTGTAGGTCCCATTTTACTTGCAGAGGTGGTCCATGAAGTATCTAGTTCAATTTTTAATACTTCACATGGTGTTCAAAGCCTTCTTGCTTTGGTCAATCATGTTTGTGTAAATCTTAATAAGCTACATTAAAGAAAAAACATATTTTTATTATCTTTTTGACAAAAAGATTTGTGGGAGATTTCCACCTTATCAAGTAAAGAGCAAAACAAAGTTGCAGAATGAAAAATTGTTTAAAATTTTTGCAGTTTAAAAAGATAACTAACTTCAACATGCATGCTCTTAGCACGACCTCTATCTACTTTGACAGACAGAAAGGGATTTTACCATTTCAACAAAACAATGAACACATGACCAGTGAAGATTACCATCAACATCACTTTGACCTCCTTCTTTCAAGAAGACAAGATCATTACTAGCAACGAAGACAGCCAGATGAGCTGAATGTCCTCTCGTTTTCAGCATTATTTCTTAATTTCTAATTGGAATATCGAACCATGACCTGTTTTCACAAAATAGAAATTTGAACCTGTTTTCAAAGGTACTCCAGTTACTTAGTGTAACAATGCAGCAGTGGGAGGCGCCGCTGTGAACATCGGTATGAAGGACGCCCCATCTGAGGGGGCAGAGGCACCGGTGTGAGGTTAGCGGGAGCCAAAAGAAAATGAAAAAAAGGAAAAATACAAAATTGCATTATGTAGAGCAACACCTGGGCTGGACTTGTCCTATCTAAAGGGTCCAGCCTGGAAAAAGAACCCCGCTTGGTGGCCATTAACCCCTCCTGCTCCAGGGGCGCTGTACAATGGCTGACCCTGTGCTCTGACCCCAAGCTTCTCTCTCTGTCTGTATGTCTCATGGAGAGCAAGTTGGGGTCTGCGAAAAGAACAATTCCTAATACAAGAAATTGTATATGGCTAGTAAAGTTATCTTCTCCACTCTATCTTCTTCTCCTCCAGGGATCCACCTCCACACTGAACACGCCCCTCATGTGTAGTGGCACATAAGTTATGACAACACAATTAAAAGCACGCTTGTGGTTAGTCCTTTTAAATAATATGTATTTTAGTCTGGTCTCCAACAGTGCTGATCCTCAGAACCAATTCAAGATCCTGAGATCCTGAGGACAATGACTACAAACATTTGTGTTGTTACAACATTGTATTGTTCTGTTGCCATTAAAAGTGCAACAATGTGGACAGAACAATGACCACAGGATTCAAAAAGGTATTACGTGCATACATCTGAATCTCTTGAGTCCTAAAAAACTGATTTGAGTGATCATAGTACCCAAGAACCCAAAGAATGAAGTAAAAGTAGGCACACTCATAGTAGGGGCTTCTCTATAGCTTTACTGTAATAATAATAATAATAATAATAATAATTGCTTACACTTATATAGCGCTTTTCTGGACACTTTACAGGTAATGTAAATATTACACAATATGGGGTCTCCCGTCCACCACCTCCAATGTGCAGCATCCACCTGGATGATGCGACGGCAGCCATAGTGCGCCAGAACGCTCACCACACAACAGCTATTAGTTGGGAGGAGAGCAGAGAGTAATAAAGCCAATTCATAGATAGGGATTATTAGGAGGCCATGATTGGTAAGGGCCAATGGGAAATTTGGCCAGGACACCGGCCTACTCTTTTCGAGAGGATTTTTAATGACCACAGAGAGTCAGGACCTCAGTTTTACGTCTCATCTGAAGGACAGCACCTGTTTACAGTATAGTGTCCCCATCACTATACTGGGGCATTAGGACCCACGTGGACCACAGGGTGAGTGCCCCCTGCTGGCCCGACTTACACCTTTTCCAGCAGCAACCTTAGTTTTTCCCATGAGGTCTCCCATCCAGGTACTGATCACACCTGCTTAGCTTCAGTGGGTTGCCAGTTGTGACTTGCAGGGTGATTTGGCTGCTGGCATATCAGATGACTGTAGAAGATGATACATTGAGATCCTTCAAAATACATCTGATTTGATCCATCAAGGCACAACTCTTTGTAATTTAATTTTAGTGCAGTATTTCGCTTTCAATAGATTCAGAAATGTTAATCAGTTAAATCACACAGCAGCCCTTAATAGGTGTGGTGGTGTCTCAATGAAATATGAAAATAATGTTTTATCGAAATTAATCCCTTACCTTTGAATTACCAACAGTATTATCAACAATTAGGCACATTAAACACTTAAAGAGGTAAATACAGCCTGTAATTGTCATGGATGTTGGAAGGGATGAACCGTGGAGAGGCAGGAGAGCGGTAAAAGACCCATATGCGTAGTGGCGGAACGGGGGATCAGCCCGGGCTCAGCAGTTCAGGAGTCATATAGAAACCAATGCCCTCAGGCAACGGACATGGGGCGACCTGGATGCTAGGCGGGTCTCAGGACATCCGAACGTCAATGCTGAGCGAAGGTGAATGAGAGACTCAGAAATATATAGCCCCAGAGAGAGAGACACCGGAAGGACAGCAAAGCACATGAAACTAAGGACAGGACAGAGTAGGAGAGCTCTCTGGCTGCAGAGGGCGTGACAGATAATGTGGAAACCTGAAAATATTTTTCACCAACTTCGCAATTGTTTGTACGATATTGGAAATTAAGTATGTCCTTTTCTTCATAAATTTAATTAACTTCAAAAAATTAAAATTAATTCCTTTTACGATACCATGGTTAATGTAAATGCATCCAACGATTTCTAAAGAAATTTTGGCATATTCAAAATCTTTTCAATGTTTTTAACAAAAAGATTACTTAAATATTTTCACAGTAATTAAAATTTAATATACTACTTTATTGTTTACCAATATCTGACACACTACCACTTGTTAAACTTGTCACATATACTGTATCGACCACTTTTTAATGGTCTGTCTCCTTCTGTTATGCTGGTGCATATTACTTAGATATGTAAGGGGACACCAAGAGGAAGAATATTTTGAGCACAACTGAGACAGTGGTCCAATTGAACCTCAGAGTAATGAAATCAAGAATAAACAGTATTCTTGGGATTATTTGGATTATAAATAAACGAAATATACTTTTTAAAACACTATTAAAAACTAGATGGGTAAAGCACGATGAAGGCCAAACAGTAATCCAGACAGCCAGGTTCTGTTGTATTTAATGTTGTATTAAGTGTGTGACTCTACATGCACCAAACGGGGAAGGAATTGTGTGGAGTGCCAGTGTCTTTGTGCCTTATTGCCCCTCTTTGCCTTGCCCTGTTTTGTCAGCCCCACATAGAATCCAGGGTATCGATGTGAGGCATAGGTATTGTAGTAACTCTCTTCCAGAATCTCCTTGAACAGGCAGTCTTCTGTGAAGTTTCCCTGCAGCACACATGGAAGATAAAAAATGTAGCAATAAATGTCTGTGGACAGACATTTTGCAAAAATGTGTAATGTAAATTATATTTCATAACTTATTTTTTACAGTAATTCTAAGAGTTGTAACCAATTTATTTTCAGTTTGGTTGAGCAACACAATATAGCCAGACTAACCAATCACTGGATACAATATCTGGCATCCCTCATTTTGTTAGTATGCGAGCTGTAGGTGAAATGTATTACTCAAGTTCTTGACATATTTTACAAGAAACATCCTACTTCATTCTTATAGCATGATTGCCTTTAGTTTGAGTTTGTGATGAGAGTAAGGATGTGTGGTATTGAATTGTACATTGCACTGACTCCACCTGTTTTCAAAATGATTAAGATGTGAGTTTTTATGGTAATTAAAAGAGATTCTCTTCAAAGCATTCTCTACAAAGCAAACCATTAGTAGACAACATTGGACAGGAATTCTTAATACTGTATTTTAGTCATTAGTGTAAATTGAAAACTTTAGTTAAAATGAGGAAATTTTAGACTAACAGAAAAAATATTTTATAGGTCAGATCAATGACTTCAACTAGGAACTGGTATAAAAATATATGGTTTCTTTGTTCTGCAGTATGTTGCAAGTTTAATTACAAAAGCATTTTCGGATCATACACACCACAAGAAAGGTTGTTTATTTATGGTAAACAAAAAAGTACACGTTCCTATCCATACACATATTTTGAATGTAGCAGAAAGATATTTAATTTTTTATTTTTGAGCCTCTTTTAACTGAGCCTCAAATTAATTTTTTACCAACGTTTATGATCCTTACTGTGAAATTGAGTGTAAATTGAGAAAAGAATCACAAATTACCAACAACTGACTTGTCACAAATTCGTTTTGCAAATATAGGAAATAGATATGAAATATTTTCTGCTTATCACAGTCGTCAAATTGAAAATCCTAACAATATGAAGCATAATATATTAGACAGTATATATAGTGTATGTATATATTATATAACATAATACATACATTAAGTAAAGTTGGCATATATTGTTATATTATCTAAAATAGACATATTAGACAGTTATGTAACTATTGTCTTCACTAGGGAAACTTCTACAGTTGTGCCTGTACAGTTGAAGTAAAGTGAAATGCTAAAAATTGAGATTAAATCATCAGTGCCTGACAATATTTGCCTTATGATTTATTAAAGAGAGCATACAAAAGCCAATAACCTTTTTTGGCTAAGATTCAGACAAAATATTTTTCTAACACAAAAATGACAGTCCTTCTATAGGAAAACCTGCACAATATGATAAAAGCATTTAAAATGAATTTCAATTCTGAAATAAATTTGTGATATAATAAAGACATGGGCCCAGATACTAATCCTAACTATATCTAGAGACCATTTTGTTTTAATGAGAGGAAAGTGAGCACTTACTGATCCATGCAAATCCCCTTCTTTATTCATTGACAGGTACAGTCCACTCTTAAGCCCTAAGATACCCACAACTCCAGGGCTCACTGCAAACAGCCTGACCCAACCTGTTAATGACAAACACCACAACTAAACAAATCTCAGCACAGACTCTTGACATGATGAAATTTCTACAGACTCTGACAGGTGAGATAATGCCAAATGGAGGCTCCCGGGAAGTTGCTGGGTTGCTGCCTCTTTAACAGCCAAGGGGGTGCATGGGCCACGAAATCCTAACCCCTTCCTTTCCAACAGTGCTGAACTAATTCTAATTAGCAAATACACCATATCTTAAGGTATCACTTTCATAGCTGACACGCATATTGAGTGACTACTAGTACTGTAACTAGAACTAACAATTTCTTGATCACAGTGTCCAACCTAAACTCACATGGAATGCCTTTAATCACTGAGTCTTTAGAATTTGCTCCCAAAAATCTTCTTGTCAAGGCAGAATTCTTCTTGTAGTCTTTAAAAGTCCTTAAAGAGATATCAGCATAAAGTTGTAAAAAGACCCCATATAGACATAATTATGCTTTTGTTGTCTAGCAGTGTTTTGCTATATATACTGTAGCTGCTATTTAAATCTCAGTATTTAAACAATAAGGCACCATTTTCAGAAATAAAGTTTTTTGCTAGTACATAAAGTGTAGCTAATGGTCTTCTAAGTTATAATATTATAATAATATTAATTCATTGTAGTATGTGGTTGTTAAGGTAATTTATAGTTAATAAAGATATTTACTATTTGGGTGCCATTTATTTGTTATTTACTTTTCTTCTGATTTTGTTTTTGAAATTTGAATAAAAGATTTTGTATGTGATTGCTTATCTAATGTTTTCTTAAAGGTGTAGGGATTTTGTGCATGATCTATGCACAGAGAAAGAAAGCCATTCTGAATGACATTAACAACCATACTGTAATTCTTGCCTTGACAGGGTAGAAATGCCTCTTTCTGTTTATTGGGAATGTTTTTGATTTTGATTTCTTAAAACAGTGCAAAAATACATCATCAATTTTACTTTTCTGTTTGTCAAAGAAAATAAATCAAATACATTTCCAACACAACCTGTAAAGATTGAGGATGAGCCCATTTAGTCCAGATGCAGGCAATTTGACCCAGACTGTCCACTTTATCTGACTGTGACTGGATATCCTCAAGTAGGAGCAAACAACTGTCTGCTCCACAGTGATTTCTGTGCCTTGCCTGATGCCTGCTGGCTTGCAGCATTATCAATAATTTTAAATTACCAGTATTGTCAGAAAAGAGTGGACATTATTGTATTCCTTTGTTGAGAGTGCAAATAGATGAGTCTGTAGATGCTGTTGATTTGGCCAATTTGCTCATTTACGTTAGTTATGAGTTTGAGGACTTTCTGTTCCATAAGCAGCTACCAACAAAAACTACAGGAGAGCACATATTTCAGCTTCTGAATGAATTTATCGAACAGAATGGCATCAACTGGATAAAATGCTTCAGAGTTTGTACAGACAGTGCTAGAGTGATAACAGGCAGACACAGCAGTGTAGCTGCACGAATTAGAGAGGTTGCTCTTGATATGAAGTGGATGCACTGCAGAATCCAGTGCGAGGCCTTGGCAGTCAAGAAAATGCCTGAGGATTTAAAACCTGTTAGTCACTGCTGTCAAAGTTGTGAATTGTATCAATTCTCAGCCAATGAATTCACATCTGTTTTGCTCGACTAAACAGGTTCACCCCTCTCACTGAAATGGTAAGTCGTCAGTGCTATTTTTATTATATTTTTGTGTGAGTGTGTGCGCAAGCTCATGTTGGTCATTGAGATTTTCTATGGTTCCTATGAGAAGATGACTTGTAGGTGGTACTTGGATCCTTTGGTTTGATCAGGAGTGGTACTTGGTCCATAAAGTTTGAGAACCACTACTTTAAAACATTGTTAACTTTCAGTCTCTGAGTTCTGTTTGTTAGGAAATCAGTAAACCACCTGACAAATTGAGATCAAGACCAAAGTTTGACAATAGCTTAGTTGCCAGTAAGTGAGGTTGAATACAATTGAATGCAGAGGAGAAATCCACAAACAGCAATCTAGCATGGGTCTTGTTTCCCTCAAGGTGTTGGAGGACAAGATTGAGAATGCATGCTGTAAGTAAACTGGAATTGTTCTAGCCATTGATGTTTTTTTTGCCACAATCTCATGTGCTAGCAAATGGTTTGATGTTAGTACTTTTCTCATTTACAATTAGCAGTTCTAACATAATAATAATTGGTGATTTTTTGTAATCTTAATCATATTGTATGAAAAATTGAATCTTGTGAATCTCACTGCTTTTATAACTAGATAAAAATTCAGCTCTTCCTTTTTATGAATCCCAGTAATGACTACTTTTTGTTATACCGTGGCTGGATGAAGCAGACAGCCATGGTTACAGACAGGCAGGAATCCAACTGCACGGACAGCTGAAGGAGAAAGTGAGGTTGAAAGGGATTGGGACTCACCCCCAGACAACAGAAGAGGAATGGGATTGTAGTGGAGTAATAGCAAACAGAGAGAGGGAATAGTGACATCCTTAAACTGGCAGACAGTTGTAGGAAGACACCAACGGACTGGTGATTGTAGTCAGGAATTCAGGCAGGTTCCCTGAATCTTTTGGGTTTTCAGGCTGACATACTGTAACTCTCAGAACAATGTGGAGTGCAATATTCTCTGACAAAGCACACATGTCAGAGCACCGATCAAGCCATGTAAGCAGTGTTAAAAGGTGAGAATGCATCTCTTGACCCTTCACTAGTTGTCCAATTCATTATGTAATATTCAGCCTGTGTATTTACAGCTATTAGAGTGCCTTAATAGCAGGTCAGTTTAAAATTTCAGTCTTTACTGACCTAGCCTGCTACAAGGATTTACACTCACTGCTCTACCTACGAATCCCACAATGATTGTAAGAGCAGGATTAACTTGAAGAAAACGACACAGACTTTCATCACCTTCTCTGGACAGAACAATCCCTGGATCTCAATGTTATTGAAAACAAGTGAAACCATTGTAATCATGTCCAGTTCAATTCCGTGTCCTATTTAAGTTCTTGTTACCTTAAGAGGCCCAAAATGTTATTTAGTGGGGGTTCCTAATGGTTTGATCAATGAAAATAGTTTTCAATGAATGATATGTACTTGGAAAAATGAAATTTTACTAGAGAGCATAATAAAAAGCACATACAATAGTCAGTATGCTTGTGCACACCCCACACACTTCCGTTGGCCAAAATCTGTAAGTGGTAGCCAATTCCAATCGGACAGTACAGGAGCTGTCGTCTCATGACTCCTGCTAAGGAGAAAGACGGAAGGATACCTGGAGAAAAAGCAAAAAGAAAAATCAATAAACATGAATGAATTGTTGGAGGATTAAACAGGAATTTATTCTTTCAGGGAATGACTAAGATTCTAAACATGTTATCAGCTTGTTTACTGCTTATATGTTACTCTTTTAAACTTATTTCAGGCTTTTTCTATGTTTTCATAATTTCAGGTAAAATTATTGTCATGGATGGTAGGGGAAGTTTCCAGGATTCTTGCATGTACTATTTTTTTCCTTTTTCTGGAGCAATCCTAGGGAAACTGTAAACAGGTAGTTTGAAAAAGCCACAATTTTAGTTAAAATTAGGACTTTATAAGCCTGTGGTTCTTCCAAGAATTGTTACAAATGGGGGGGTTATGAAAACTGGTGAAAATCAAGGATTGACCGAGCGGTTTAGTCAATAAGTAACATAAATTTTTCTTAAAGTCTAACTTGTAATTGATTTCTCCAGAATAATAATAATAATTGCTTACACTTATATAGCGCTTTTCTGGACATCCATACAAAGTACTTTACAGGTAATGGGGACTCCCCTCCACCACCACTAATGTGCAGCATCCACCTGGATGATGCGACTGCAGCCATAGTGCGCCAGAACGCTCACCACACATCAGCTATCAGTGGGGCGGAGAGCAGAGTAATGAAGCACATTCATAGATGGGGATTATTAGGAGGCCATGATTGGTAAGGGCCAGTGGGAAATTTGGACAGGACACAGGGGTTACACCCCTACTGTTTTCAAGAAAGGCCCTGGGATTTTTTTATGACCATAGAGAGTCAGGACCTCGGTTTTACGTCTCATCCGAAAGACGGCGCCTAATGCAACTGTAGCCGTAGTGCGCCAGAACGCTCACCTCACATCAGCTATTAGTGGGGAGGAGAACAGAGTGATGAAACCAATTCGTAGATGGGGATTATTAGGAGGCCATGATTTGGCCAGAACACCAGGGTTAACACCGCTACTCTTTTCGAGAAATACCCTGGGATTTTTAATGACCACATAGAGACAGGACCGCGATTTTACGTCTTATCCGAAGGATGCCGCCCTTTTACAGTATAGTGTCCATGTCATTATACTGGTGCATTAGGACCCACATAGACTGCAGGGTGGGCACCCCCTGCTAGCCACACTAACACCTCTTCCACCAACAACCTTAGTTTTTCCCAGGAGGTCACCCATCCAGGTACTGACCAGCCTCATACCTGCTTGGCTTTAGTGGGATACCAGTTGTGAGTTGCAGGGTGATATGGCTGCTGGCAAGACATATACCCAAGTGGTTGATATAATTAGAGGCACATTAATTCTTTATTCTCTGGCACAACTTTGGTGAAAAGAGTAATAATCCAGGCATACTTGGTTTAAATATGTTTATTAACAAGGACAAGCACTATGCTACACACAACAAAACATTCAACACACAAGTTACTATGTTTACATTATGTGCAAACAAGGAGTTTCAGAGGCCCAACATCCTAATCACCCAGAAAACTCAAGACTGCTACTACAGACTAGCTACTGCTAGAGATTTGCTGCCTTCTCAATAAATGCAAAATAACCTGGAGTTAAATCTCTCCTCCATCCTCCCGATTGCTCAGCGGGTCATTCGTGACACCAGGTGCCACAAAATAAATGAGAGCCTATATCTCTATCCATAAAAATGCACCCTAAGCAGGAAAGACATTTCTAGTGAAGGTATCGTTTACTGAGGAAATCCAAGTTACCTAAAAACACAAAATAGCAGGCTCTCTCTAACAAGGTTCAAATATGTAGCTCCAATTGGGTTTTATTTAGATGATCATGAAGTAAGGGCTCTCGCCTGGCACAAGCTTCAAGTTCCAACTCCTCCTGACTCCTTCCTTGTGGTCTGACTTCTTCTTTTACTCTTCTGCTCTCTTCTTCCCTTTTTCCTCTTATTTTCTAAATGTAATTTTAGTGTATTTCTGGACTGCTCACTGTCAATCATTTACCCACTATTTAATTAACTAGATAAACCAAGGTACACTTTCCAATTGTTTTTGATCAGGGGACCTCTTACATCTCAGCAAACATCCCCTACAACTTTGAAGTTGGAAATGTTAACACTGTTAGGTGTTACTAACTTTGTCTAAAATCTTAAGAGGCATTTCCTAGTCCCCTATAGCTGTAACAATATGTTTTTATATTTTTGTTTTATTTAATCTGTAAAGCAAAAGATCCTCTTGCTTATTCTAGCCCAAGATTCTATAATTTACAGTTCTTAAGTTAGTTATTGTGTGTATGTCATTTTTTACATTGGGTTTTAAATGTGTAGGTCCATAGAAATAAAAGTACTTAAAAGCATAGTATGCAATGAATGCATAAAAAACATGCAGTGGAAGAAGAACTAAACACATTTTAAGGTATGCACTAGGGAAAACCTATTTTTAACTAAAAAAAGGAGGGTGTATAGTGTTTATAACTCCTTGGAAGACCTATCAGTATATAATATCACTAATGCTTGCACTGACACTTGGATTTTATACTAAATGCACACATCCTAGAGCCGACAATCTATATTTACAATCAGAATCTGAAGAATGAATTATTTCAGGTGGGTAGCTGCGTAGGCATGCGTAGGCTGCAAAGGCTGGAATAGGTTTATTCCATTCTGGAAAGAGAAGAAAGAAAACACAATGTTTCGGCTGTGGGGTCTTCTTCAGTTCTGTGAAGTTGGCCCCCCTACAGACAGCACAAACAATGAAACTCACCTCATTCATTAGTGCTACATTTGTGCTGTTGAAAGTAGCATTTGTGCTGCTTTCGTTTTCCGAGATATAGTATCTTGTTTTATCGGGGTCGTGACGTCACTCAGCCCCTCTACAACGTCGTAGGGACACTGGACCCGTCTCATTCGTTAGTACTGTGTTTGTGCTGCTTTCTCCTTGTCTTTCGGGTGATCACGTGACCATGCACGGTGACTTTCACTTCCAGTAACCCCGTCTGCTGAGTTCAAACGCTCTGTTACTGGTGCAAGAGTAACAATTCTGCATTTATGTTTGCACGGGTGGGGGGCGGTGGGTGATTTTGCTTTTAATATCAGTATCTTCTGTGCATTTGTGTAAAAAGGAAAATTGAATGGAGTGATGGCACCATGGCTAAGGATCTGTGCCTGGGGGTGGAAGGTTACCAGGTTCAAATCCTGCAGCTAGCAGAGGAATCCTACTCCTTTGGGCCCTTGAGCAAGACCCTTGACCTCAGCTGCTCAAGGGGTGCCATATAAATGGATGACCCTGCACTCTGACCCCAAGCTTCTCTCTCCCTGCCTGTGTGTCTCACAGAGAGCAAGCTGGGGTATGCAAAAAGACCCAATGAAGGCCCCACAGCAGAAACATTGTGTTTTCTTTCTTCTCTTTTCAGCATGGAATAAACCTATTAATTGTTGCTCCGAAGAATGAAGAAGAATTCTCATAACCTAGGAATTATCTTCTGCAAGGTTTATATTTACAAAGGCATTCAGCAAAACCTAACATTTAAGAAAGCAATGTTTAATGATCACAACATCAAAATTGAAACCAAGTTATTATTCCTAATTTACTGTTCAGCTTAAAGAACTAGAGCTATAATGCCAGTGCTGCTTGCCAAATATTTTATGATCAAGTGGGAAAACAGACACATCAACATCACTGTTCTGTCACAAGCAGGAACCACTGGCACTGAAGTTATGATCATCTGCTATTAGCTCCATTGGGTCATCATGTTGTCCAGATGTCAGAATCCAGCATCTGAAAGAAGGATCCTTTCTCCTAGCTTTGGCAAGTCAATCACCCCAGACACAGACAAAATAAGCATTTCAAAGATTTTAGTAGAAGCATACATGACGAAATGTAATATTTTTTTATTTGGTTCAGAGCTGTTCTGCCCTTCAAGGCTTACAGCTACAGTAATGGCTAATTGGACTAGGTTGTCTGCTAGTTTGTGGTAGATCATTTTAAGGTAATATGATCCCCTCCAGTGTTGCCAATTTCTTGATTAAACAAACTGGCATCAACTTATACAGCTACTATACTAATACAATTAGCTCATGTATACAACAGCGGTGCTCACAGGGTGAACTTAAACCCACAACCCTGCAAGTAGAGGATTTGAGAGCCCAACTCTCTGTTACACACTGCCCTCCACTCCTCTGTATTGAAACTGTATTGGGGGATATTAAATTAAATACAATTTTCAATCCATCAACCAAGAAAAAAGTCAATGTATTCTTTGATGATGTGGTCACTATGTAATAGAAATGCAAATTTTCAGGCAAATTAATGCAGATCTTGATCTTATTGTTATTTTGTAAGTGAAGTGGGACATGTATACATCTCACTTATCCAACATCACCATATCACCACTTAAGCACATTGTGAGAGGTGTAGCTGGGGTCTGTTAATTTGGGCTTCATAAATTACACTAAGATGCCAAAAAGCTGACTTGCTTTAGCAGCCCCAGTGACTTAACTCTACACAATAAAAGACAGGAACAACACCCACAAACAGGATAAAGCAGATCAATGTCTGCTGCTTATCAAAGGACAGAACCCAGAGCAAGACAGAGCAGGACAAGTAGTAATTACATATCAAAGAGTAGGACAAGTATTCAGATTATGAAACAAACTTCTTTCCGACTGTATATAAGAGCTGGGAAGAACTTGCAGTTTGTCTGTTCTATGGAGCAGACCCAGCACGCATTGGTGTGCTTTTTGAGCTGATGAAGAATTTCCCACAACAGTAAGAAAGGTTGCAAACAATAGGAGACTATTAAACCCATCTTGATCATGTTGGTAGTTCAGGAGCTAAGTGAAATTAAAACTTTGTCCATCTAAAAGGGCATTTTTTATTTAAAGTGCCCAGATTTTTAGCCTCAAACACCTGGCAGGGAACCGTGTTCCAGCTACCCACAACTTTTTATGTGAAAAAGCATTTCCTATTTGGCATTCCAAATTATTAACCATTTCATGACCTTGTTTCACTACTTAGTTACCTGGAGTAACCAAATCTATACACTTTAGAGTCTTATAATATATACTTGAATCAGATCAGTGCTAATCATATATCTGTGTCCCTTGTTTGAAGAATTTCAGCAAGTTAAACTGCACTCTCTGTTATTAAATTCATGTTAACTGTCTCTTGTTGTATACTGTTAGTATACTAAAGCAAAGCTCTTCCTATAATAGAAGTAAAACTGCTACTTTCAACAAAATATGCTTAAATACACTAGTTTTACACTTACATCCATTCTGACCTTAAACTGTTATAAACAAATAAAAACATTGTAAAAGGAAGATATGTTAAATTTTCTATATTGCCAGTTGATAGAAGCCTTTGCCTTTGTCATCTAGCCCTTGTTCTTCAAAGAAGTCAGCATCCATCCATTTCTAACCCCATCTTCCAATACAGGGTTCCAATACAAGATAGAACCTATCTTGGCAAGCAACAAATAGAAGTGGGGTAAAATATTTTTGGCTGTAATACTATACAGTTCATATAACCAGGAACATTTACACACAATCTAAAGTGTAAATGCTATCAGAAAGACAAATCACCACCTTCATGAGGACCAACAAAACTGTGGCATTAATTTCCTCAATGTAAAACAATTCAGTGTTTCATTTCTTTACTTCCAAGCACAAACATTCTTATCTCTTCATTATAGGGAACATTCGTCACAGGTCTCTGGGCTCACAGATATAATTTTCATGTTATGACCTTGTCTTCCTGATTACAGGGTCTTTTGTAAATTCCTAACCAAGCTGCCATAACTATTTTAATCAATATGTCTTGACTCATAAATGGGTGTACAATCAACTTATGAGGAAAACTATATATAATACATATAGTGATATGAAGCTCATTGTGAAAAATAGTTACAGTGCTCTTCAGCTAAATTTGCAGTCCCCTTTTGACAGACCCTCTCATTGTTGTAACAAATGTTGCAGGGCCATTGGCACCTTTGCTATTCTGCATCATGTTTTATATAATTTAGTCTTATGAATTTGTTCATTTTCATTTAAAATCCAAATTTATGACAGTCTGCCATTTATGAAATTTAACAATGAGTGACTCATCCAACACCAAAGCAAGGGTTTATAGTTTAGTTCCAAACTTTGGCTATCCAGGTCAAAGTTTTTATATTCTTCTCTAACAATGGGACAGAGATCACTACTGTTGGAATTTCAACCATAAAACATACATTCTAATTATAATAATACATTGAAGCACAAGATGGAAACCACAGGCTACAGACAGGCTGCATTTTTTCAACGATGCAGCAACACTTAGTATACAAGAAAACAAAATAAACTCAGAGAAAGCCTGTCGAAGCTAGAGGTACCCATTGTAGTCTGCAACCGAGCACTGATGGTGTTAATTGTTTAATTTTTGTGAATGTAAATGGGGTTAAGCATAAAACCTAAAGAATGTCGCTTGCAGATCCCTGCTGTCATTATTATGTGGAGCTAAGGGGTGAAGCCTGGGCACTGTCTGCCTCTCCAGATGTTAACAGTTTCCATTTGTGCAATCCTGAAGAAAATCCTAAATCAGGGTACATTTTGTAATCATGTGAACACACGTAATTAAAGATAAAAATGTTCACCTTATATAAATTATATATGTTAAAAATAGAATTAAAAATACTCAGTCACAATAAATTATAAGATTAATGGAATAATCAAAACATAATTGTAGAATAATATATTATGTATATTTGCCAAAGATCCCGTTCTTTCCCATTTCACTCTAAGATTCTGTAATTTCCTTTTTGATTAATACCCCATTGACTGATAGCAACTTGTTTAAAACCGCAACCACCACCTTCCCATACATTGTACATAACAACTATGTGGCAAAATACTTTCACTATTGTACTATAGAGAATCGACAAATACAGGTGGATGCTGCACGGTGGTGGTTGTGGAGGGGAGTCCCCATTACCTGTAAAGTGCTTTTAGTGTCCAGAAAAGGCGCGATATAAGTATAAGCAATTTTTATTATAATATAAAAGTGTAAATGCTATAGTGCGTGCAAGCATAGAAAATGTTACAAATGGCACAGTGCTGGTCCACATTACAAACAGAACTAAGAAACCTAAAAGAGAAGTCCAACCTCATTCCAGTATGTTCATCTGTGCCATATGGACAGATTGAAGGAATGTATTGTTTTCAGTCTAAGTCTTCATATTTTAGAGAAATAAATTCTGTAGTCCATATCACTATCTTGTTGTTTTATGTTCTTCAGAGATCTGACATTTCACTAGCTATGAATTGCCAACTGATCTAAGAATCTTATTTAGCATTTTTTGGGGCAAATCTCAGGGTAAGAGTTCGAACAATATGACTGTCCAGAATACTACATCCCATTGTGTAGAGAATCACCACCAGTTCATTAAATATTGTAGATTGTATTTGTATGAGAAAAAAGCAACCAGGACAATATTCAAATGTTTTATTCACTAGTATCATTGTCATTTGCTTTCAGAAAACAAAGTGGAATGTCCCTCGTTCCCTGAGCAAGGCAGAATATTTAGGTGGTAGTAGTGGGAATTCAAAGTAGATGCTCCAACACTAGAGTGGTGCTACTTCAGGACTAGAGACACTCAAACTGACCAGTTTGTTTATGCCCTGAAGGCTGTTAATTTGAAGATAGAGAGTATTTAGAAAATACAGACATCGATATAACTGATTTTCTTTTCTCATGAGCAAGGAGAAGGAATTTTGTTAATAAGCCAATCTTCATGCCTTTCAAAGAATGTACAGTAAAAAAACAGACCTCTAAATAATGAAAATTATTTAGAAAAATGGAAAATTATAAATAATGGCACCAAAACAAAAAAGGTTAACTGTATTCTGTGCATAATTTATGTCAATGCAGTAACGTTATGTTTCATTTTCATTTCCAAATAAAATATTTAAATAGAAATTTGTCAATAACTGGAACTAAAAGAAAACATTTAGTTATAAAATCGACTGTAATGTGTGCATAATTAAGATAAACCCCACACTTAATTATTTTGTGTTAAGTCAGTTAGCTAATATGAAAAAGAGTGTCCTCTAGTTTATACCAGCATAGCAATAAAACAAAGCATAAGAAGTCCTAAGTTTTTGGATCTCCTTCCATGAAATAAAAGTAAGCAAACTGTCGGACTTTAAGAGAACAAACTCTTACCTCTGCTTTTCCCTTTTAACTCTTTAATAGAAAGTTGCCACAGTCTCCTGATCTGGCTGCCTCTTTCATCCAAGGAGGTATTGCTGAGTCTCTCGGCCCATTGAGTCGTCACACAAGCGGCCAGAAGCACCAGCCAAGGATACACCCTAACTGCCATCTGGGCCTCACAGAGTGCCCCAGGGGGCCCATGCCACACTTCTGAAAAGTGTGGTGCCACAACAAGGGAAAGCTTTCTGCACTGTTGCCAACTGACAGAGCTTTCCTCTAATCTGGGAGTCCTTAATAATGTACACTGTGTTCTTAGGAAAATGTAAACATCACTTCTTTACAGGGTCAAGTTGCATTGTTTTCCCTCCCAATTCTGTCTTTATCACGTTTTGTAGTATGCCATCATTTTTTTCTATTTTCTTCATATTTGCCTTTCTCAGGCATCACCTGGAATATGTATCAGGTGAAATGTCAGTATGTCAAAGATCAAATATCCATTAGCCAGAGGAAGATTCACCAAATGGGGGTCTGTAAAGTGGGTACCAGAACTAAACCTCATAGCATCCCAGCCAATTTCAAACTCGTGTTGTAATCCCTTAAAAGCAAGAACCCAACAAATTCTTTGCTTGTTTAGCACTGACTTAAAATCTTTCTCCATCTAAGATGGCAAACTGACTTTTCCAACCACACAACATTAGACTGTTGGACTCTTTCTTTTAGTTGACATCCAGAATATTCAAGCATATTCTGAACAAAGTTCAGAATGAACTAAATTCCACTTGGTTTACCTTGCAGCCGGACACCAAGAAGACAAACAGTGCACAGACTGTTTTAAAGACCAAAGTTAGAAAGATGCTACTTTGGCAGAGATGCCTAAAGTCAACACAATGAAAGGCAATGCCAGGCAAAAGCTCTTTCTCTCTCATTTCTGTCTACACCAGAACCCTCCCCAACATAGAGCAGAGGAAGATGCTACGGATCAATCCAACCAGCTCCGTCTTACCAGTGTGAAGTTTAAAATCATCAAAGGACATTTGGCTAATGGATTTTTAAGTATAAAACTTCATTATTCACATAATTCTCATTCTCGTCAATTCTGAAGAGCTGAACTGTTATTCCAATGGATCTTGATGTTTAGTTCACGATAGTACAGTGTAAATGCACATTAACTTGTGCCTGAGAATGTATATGTGTTTAATTATATGTGACTGATAGAACCTATGAGCTAAACTGCAACACATTATAGTTATAGTATTTTAACTCTGAAGTTATTAACTCTGATCTTTGTAATCTCTGAGTGAACAATCAGCATTCTGTGTTCACAGCAGATCATTTCACATGTTCTAGTACAATATTTTACTTATATTGTGTACTTGGAATCTGTGTGTGAGACTGTAAAACTTGTGTTTGATTGGTTCCTAAAAGTCGTCAAATGCTCACAATTTACTGTTATAATTTCTAATTGTTATAGAAAATTAAAACCCTCTTTTCATATAAGGCTAAGATTTTTTAATTAATGTTATTTTCTCCTAGCAGCTTCTATGTGGCTGTAAACTCACATCTTTAGTATGTGTGCTAACAAAGCTTGATAAACATTTGTAGAGAAAAAACAAAGGGTGCTCTAGTTGTATTATGAAATAAAGTTGTGAATTACAAAGTTAACTGTATTTGTGGTGCATATTTCCCTCTCTAAAATAATTAATACAGGTCTTCATATTACTAAGAGAAAAATCACTAAGTCACTAAGTCCTTCAGAATTTCATCTGAGATTTTTAGATACCCCTCTTGCTTAACATGATTCTCTGCCATTGAGGAAAGTACATTTAAAAGAGATTCAGGTGGGTAGCTGTGTCAGCATGCGTAGGCTGCAAAGGAACAAGTAATAGGTTTATTCCATACTGAAAAGAGAAGAAAGAAAACACAACATTTTGGCCTTGGAGCCTTCTTCAGGTGTGAGAAAGACAGGGCAGTAAGCAAAGTTAATGTAGCAAGAGAACAAAGGGGGAAGGTGTGATCCTAGCTGCAGGATAATTTTAGTTTCTGTAGTTTTTCTGATGTATGAGTTCGGAAAACCGTCTTTGAGAACACAGATGGAGAGATTAGAGCGATCATGTAACGGAGGCGTTCTTTCTGTGACCCTATGCAGACGACACAATCTGGGGTAGAGTGAGGAAAACACGGGGGGGAAAGCATGCAGGAGTCGGGAATGAAAACAGGGGGCATGTCCAAGGTGAGCAGGTGTTCTGAGGGGTGAATCCAAGGCAAACTATCCAAAAGGGAGTCCAAAGGGAAATCCAAGACGAGGCAAATGTCCAGAGCAAATGTCCATCAGAGACTAAGACAATCGCGATTAAAAACCGGAGTGGGATCCGGTGGAGGGTTGAGGGGAAAAAGGGGGGAACGGGACCAGATGCTAAAGGTCCTGGACTTGCTTGGTACAGGAACCAATGCAGAGCCCGGAACAGAGTGAGTGTCTGGCTTTTAAGGTAGGCTGAATAGGAGGCTGGAACAGGGGGCAGGTGCACAAAGCTGGAGCGCCCTTAAGGGGGAGGGACTACAATCGTGACAGATCATGGCCATCAGAGGTGAAATGAGAAACAATGGGCTTGGAGAGATCTTTAATCTTCACAGCCCTAACGTGTTCTCTGAAGCGGTCTCTGAGTCTCCTTCCTGTTTCTCCAATGTAGATGGCTGGGCATTTACTGCAAGAGATACAGTAAATAAGGTTGCTGGAGGTACAAGATGCCATCTGGGTGATCTGGAATTGTACTGAGGGGCCTTGAATGAGTGTGGTGTTAGATACGTACATTTAAAAGAGATGTTAACCCTGCTGTAATATCCCTATTACACAAAAAAGATCCTACACTGCATGAGATATTGTCCTGTGTCTGTGATTTGTTCTGACTCCAAGTAGTAGCTGCTGTAGTACCAGGTAATGTAGTCATTACCTACATCTCATTATACATGTGGTACCAGACATTGCCTCCTTATTTGGGATTCTTTTATTAGACATCAAGAAGGATATTTATTGGCTCAAGTGGGAATATTGATGGTTGACTTTAGTTTCTATTGGTTTTGGATTAGGTTTAATTAACATGATGATTACTCTATACTGATGACATACAGTGCCCCAGTCCCTAGCTCATCACTCTCTTTCTGTCTCATTGCAGTCTAAATTTAAGAACAGTTCCGAATGAGAGTAACTGCCCACATTGACCTTCCTGTAATTAGTAGTTTATTCATCTGAGGATCTGATACAGCCATTTCGTGAAATAAAATAGGATATTGGCTTCAATAACATGGAAGGGTAATTTGTTCCTTACTCTCATTGTTATGTGAAGAAGTAACAATAGTTCCCCATTTTAATTATACTTCCCTCAGTTTCCACTGACCAGGTTTGTGTTTAATAGTTGATTCTGAAGAAATCCACTGGGCTGAATCAGGTCCCCTTTCCAGTTTTCTCTGATCAAAACTAAAAGGCTCAGTTCTTTTAGCTTGTCAACGCAGCACACTCTTAAGAAATGTGTCTGGTTGCCCTTCTCTGGACTGATTCATTAAAAGCAAGAATTAGTTCCTAACATAATGTGAAAAATATTCTAAATTAGGTCATACCAGTGCATCATAAAATTTTAAAACAATGTCCTTTGATTTAAATTCTACATTATTAAATATATATCATGGAAGTTAACTGAAGTTCGACAGGGATAACAATGACAGTCATTAGCTATAAATATCTATAACAAACACCTCCCTTTGCTTTAGACTCAAGCATCATCCCCTCTGAATGGGGTTTGAGCCTCCTTGTCCTATGATCAGGAGGCTGATCATTAACCAAGCGGGTTAAGACAAACATATCCTACAAATAATCCAACCATTCACAAAGCTAACATGAGTGAGTCATGAATCAGCATTAAGTATAGATAACATACAGTATGCAAAGTATGCAAAAAAACAAATGGAAACAGATTTGAACATACTGGCACACCTCTCAGCTGGATCTTCAATGAAAGCTTTTAAGGGGACTTCCAGTGGCTATAAAAGTATCCATCTTCTTGGACTTGGACTTTCACATTTTATTTTGTTACTGTTATGGCACACTCTGTCCTGCAGGAGGCAGCAATTGCAAAGCTGAAGAGTGAATCCACACACAAGTGTTACAGACAAGGTCTGCAGACCATGTCGGGTTTTGTACCCTATGCTATGCTATGTGATGCGGTAAACAGGAGCCGTGGTATGGGAAAACACACAGGGTTCTAATAGTGCACAAAATAATAGTGACAGTCTGTGAGACAGTGAGCAATCAATAATTAATCTATCCTCTGACGCAACAAGGTTAAAATCCCCAGGAAGGGGGGAAAACACGGACACACGCAAAATGTGGAGGTCCTAGGATGACGTGGCGAGTTCCTCCAGACTCAGGGCTCAGGAAACGGGAGGTGTTGGGGATGAGGCTATGGCCTCAGGAGACGGACATAGGGTATCCTGGTGCTAGGCGGGCCTCCCGACATCCGTACCCTAATGTTGAGCCCCAAGGACTGGAGGAGCTAGACTTTGAAT